ATAAGGAAAATGAACAACAATTTTAAATTTAAAAATATTTTGTTACAAACTATTTTACTTTTTGTTACGTTGGAAAAATTCTAATGATTTAATTTTATCTGACATCCTTCTGATAACTAATTCGATATGTTATATTCATTTTAGAGTTTACAGCTCATTATGACTCAAAGACACACTATAAAGAATTGAATACAGCGTACCTAGTTTCCATACAGCGGGTATTTCTTTCATTTGTTTAACTAAAAAAAAACTCGTTGTGTCCATTGAGCGCTGTTCTGAATAAAATATACTGTAGTACTTGATTATTTATAGTATCTGTTAAGATACTTAGTACTGTTCTTATTACATCTTTTAAAATAAACTAGTCATCTTTTAATTCTTATTTAGTGAAAGTATTCAACACACCTATTTGCCGGTTAATTTTATATGTTTCAATTCTTAATAAGAGCAATTCTCTTACTTTAAGTTATAGTTTTTCATATTTTTAGTTGAACTGGTGCTTTGTCAAAGCTTTGATAATGGTTTTTTAATGTTCAGCAGTAGTTTTGCCAACAAATAAATTGATCATAGGTTAAATGCTGAATAAATGAACTTTGATAAAATGAAAAACAGATATCGAGCACTGTTTTATTAATTAAATCTTGTCCAAGTACTTTCGCTTCCTAGAGCATCTTCAGGGGCATCTGAAATAAGCCAAGAAACGTTTTTTTTAAATGAAGAAATTGATTAACTTCGATAAAAAACTCAAAGTAATGGATGATAAAAGTTGTTTTGTGATTAACGTTTTAGACTTACTTCGTCAATTTTGGGCTATCCAACAATCGCAGATTGTGATAAACTTAAAATTAAACATACAATTGAATATATCACTACACTAAACAAGGACAAATAATTTAAAATAATTTAAAATATAGTGGAAGCTACATTCTGGTCGGCAACAGGAGAGAGAACGTTTCCCGGTATTAACGGAGATGTTAAGGTGACATGTGACATATGACAGCTTGGATGATCAATCACACTCATGGAGATGCATGCAAATTCCAAAATTCTATGTAACTAAGACCTTTGGTCTTAGTTGTTCATGGTCCCAGCACATCTGTTGCTCTTGGTTAGTCTCAGGTTGATTTCAGTTTCTTCCTCAGATGTCTGATCAATAACGGCACCTAAGTATACATATTTATCCACCTTCTCAAATTTTACAATTGATCCATCTAATTTAAAGGAGCCCCTGGTATTTTTTACTCGAGATTTCCATGGATTTATCACTATTAACTTTCAGTCCCATTTTAGAGCTTTTCCAAATCAGTCTGTTTGATATATTTTTCAGTTCTCTTTCCATTTCTTGCAATGAGAACCATATCATCAGTGTACTCTAAGTGTTGGTGCTTTTTATATAAAAGATTGCCGGACATATTTATCCCACTAACCCTTACAAGTTTTCTAGAACCACATTGAATAGCAAGGTAGACAAAGGGTCTCCTTGGCGAACACCTTTTTTCAAAATCCACAAGGAATCTACGTTCCTGTAGTTGGGCTCTATACCATATATAAAAAAAATTATTAAAAAGCTTTATAAAAGGTATATATTTAAAAACCCAATCGGGCTATGTTACACAAAAGTTTCGAATCATATCCATCATCAGGTCTAGGTATACATGAATATAGCCACTAAATATGTGGGTAAAAACCCGTTAAAAAATTATTTGTATAAATTTAGTTTAACAATATTTGTTTATTTATTATTAGGATGTTAAAGTTACCGTTAGATTTGGTACATGGCGACATATGACTCACGTAAAGTTGCTAGTCCTGAGACGATGGTCTACGAGGACTTTATGAAAGTAACTCAAAAGCAAAGTTGCTCTCTTTTCCTTTAACTATAATTGCACACATTCTATCAGATTTTCTTACAATTCGTTTTACCTGCTCCACGTTTCCATGTATTACAAAACCCACTTCAAAATTCCAATTGATGCCTCCACTTATATAAAATGTGTATGGATGGACTAATCTTTTCGATGTTGTTTCCAGTTGAATGTGTTTCTTGTATTGCTATGATAAGTATTTAATATTTGTTAAGTTCTTCTATCGGTCAATTAATGCTCCTTCCTCGTATTTTTCATGTAGCAATATTTAGGTACGTATTCTTATTTTTGGTTTCGCTATTTATGTTCAAACTCATTTTTCTGTTCATCGGTGGGGTCCGTCAGCATAATTGGTCGCCCTTTCTTTTCCACTACTATATGCCGTTTTTGGGACCATATTTCTAGAGTTCTCTCGTTTGAAAGTACCGTTTCCAGGCCATTCCCATTTTTATGCCATCCACAAATAGTTTTTTGTGCCATATCTATACGTTTATACCTTCAGCTTTTAATTCCTTCCCTTTATTTACAAATTCCTGCCTCATGTGTCTTTCCTTTTCGGCTAAGTCATCGTTGATGAAGATCTTTTCTCCAGTAAAAAATATAACTTTGCTTTTTTTCTTCATTACCTTGTTTTTTTCTTTTCCATAAGCTTTATTGCAGATTTTATTTATACATCCTCTTTTAGACGCTTTTGTATAAAATCTTTTATGATATTTTTTTAAGAGTACTTCATCTGTTGCGACCATTGGTAGGCCCGTAATTACTATGTTATTTCTTTTCATCTGTTTTTCTCTATATCTCTATATTCTTTATTTTCATTCCTGATTTCTTTAAATTCTCCCATCATCTTCTTGAACATACTCCTTAACGTTGTTCTCATCCTCTGAATCTTCTTTCCTTGGTTTTTTTTTGCTTGGAATTCTAACAGTTATTTGCTCTAATGGAAAGGTGAAGTTGACCCCTTTATCTTTTCTCTTTTTGTCTTCTGACACATAATCATCACTGTCCGGGTGCATCATATCTGTATCTAAGGACCGCGAAAGGAACTAAATCCGCTTCAACTGCTCAAAAATCCAGTTCCTATCAGTCCTCAATTATCACAATTATTTTTAACTTTCCACAAGGAAAATAATTCCTGCAGCTGGCTGTATACCCACGAATCACAAAAAAGATGTTAGAATCTTTGTAAATTGTAAAATATGAGTATATGGCAAGAAAACTAAAGGAGGAATATGAATAGTGGGGATTGGAAATAAATGTAGAAAAAAATAAATACCTACCCATAGGAGCTGAGTTATCCAATATCGAACTAGAGAATAATGAAGAAATCACATCCTGTAGTGAATATACGTACCTGGGAGTAATCTCGATAGAACGGGGAAAAGACGATGAGGAAATAAAGAAAAGGGTTTACACAAGCTAGAAGAACAATTGGCTGCCTAAATGGAATACTTTGGAGCTCTGAAATAGGAATAAAGCGAAATAGAACATCTATGAGTCACTAATTAAAAGCAGTCTACTTTACGGAGCAGAAACTTGGAGAATAAACCGAGAACCAACAGAAAAAAATTAGAAGCTGTAGAAATGGATGTGTTTAGAAGATCGTTAGGTATATCCAGCAGGGACAGAGTTCGCAATGAGGAAGTAAGACGAAGAATTTGAATAGTATGGTTACTTAACAACAGACATTGAGAGGAAACAGTTGATTTGGTTATGTACAGTTCAAAGAATGGAAACACCAAGACTACCCAAGAAGATTATGCAGTGGGTACCACCAAACCGCAAAAAAACGAGGAAGACCACAAAGACATGGAAAGAAGGGGTAACTAAAGCATTGAGTACAAGAGATCTTAGAGACGGCCAATGGGATGATGAATAGAAAGGACGTGGAAGTTAGGCATCGGACCAACGTCGAAAGACGTTTCTAAAACCGCTATTATATTATAGATATATATTATATATTAATAATATATATATACCAATATGGTTAAGTTATATTTTAAGAGTTACATTATTATATCTTTATTGTATTTTTTATACGGACTTCAAACTTTATGTAAAGTGGTCAATAAAACGTTCTATCTATCTATCTATCTATATATATATATAATATAGTCTTTGTAAATGGGTATTTTTAAAAACTCTAAAAGAAGTACACATCAAATTAACACGAACGTTTTTGGAATAATAATTCCATCATCAGGTTTAAAAATGCAGGTTAACACGCCTGAGCCACCAAATATATTTGGGTAAAGACCCTTTAAAATACATAAGGTTACAAAAGATTGTACATATTGTTGTTATTAGTATTTGATAATAAATTAAATTTAACTTTAGGTAACATACACCCATGCCTTAAGTGAGTTCCAGCGTCCGGAGAGTAAATCTATTCAAACGGACTCCAGCTGGTAACTCTGTTACCAGTTACCAGAGTAAACCTCTTCAAACGGACTTCAGCTGGTAACTCTGTTACCAGTTACCAGAGTAAACCTCTCAAACGGACTTTAGCTGGTAACTCTGTTACCAGTTTACCAGAGTAAACCTCTTCAAAACGGACTACAGCTGGTAACTCTGTTACTTTGACAACGTCGCAAATCTACCGGACAGAGTTCCCCCAATAGGATTGTTTTGAATTGTAAATAACTTCACTTCACATATGTAAACAAACCGTAAATTTTTGCTACTAATCGCGATATTTTGGGTTTTAGTAGGAAAAACAAACTTATTTCTTATCTGCTTAGTACACCGTTGCCCTCCCCATGTAAGTACATATAGGAGCATAATCGGACATGAGTATGATCGAAAGGCTGCATGACAGGTGTATCCAAGACTAGACTCTGTAATATACACTAGCTCTTATGTATTGACTTTTTGACCTCTACATTGAACGCAACTGTCAAAACATCAGTTTCCGATCCAGAAGTTGAAACGTTAATAATTTTACATTTTACTTCGGCTATCACCGTTATCTCCATTTTATTCTTTAATATACAATTTTCATATAATGAAACATATGATATAACAAAGCAAATGTTTACCAAATTTGTTTGTTTAGCATTTTAAACTCCAATGGATACCTTATCTACAGGCAGAAAGTGTGTTCCCAATAGGTTTTCATTGATTAAACATAATTCATGAGTTTTTATTAAACATAAAAACTTGTGTTATTAAATTAGAGAAAAAAATATAAAATACAAATAAAAAGATTTACTAAAAAATTTTATAAAGAATTTTCAGTTCACTCCCAATAAACCATCCGGTTGGTCTTCCAGATATCCTGAAAAGCTTGCATCAATATCCGCATCTTGTCTTCTATGGATCTTAGACGTCGAAGATCTCCGCGAATCTTTTTGACTTGATCTGACTTCCACATCCGTAGTACATTAATTGCTTTTTCTCTTGATACAGAATCTATAAAAAGGGTAATTATTTATTTTTTATATGATGAGAAACTTTGTAATAAATTAATAAAACAAAAACTATTGTATTATAGCATATTGATTAAAATCTTTGTAATTTGTCGGTAACAATGAAGACATTTATTGTAATATTATATAAAGATAATAATTTTATGAAGATATCAAGCAGATATACAAAATTTAAAACCCATTAAGATTCAAACGAAGAGGCAGAATCCGTCATGGGAAACTTTCGATTTGGTGAGAGAAATGAAAAGGAATTAAGTTATCGATTTTTTATTAGGAAAAAAACATTAAAGTAAACAGAACAAAAATGATTAAAAAAAGAGCGAAAGACGAATTTTCCCAGATGATATAACACTCTATGAAGAAAATATTAACACTAGCTTGGCTACAAAATACTTAGGATATCAGTCTCAAAGAAATGAACAATATTATTATGAAAAATAGAAGCTACTGACAGAAGCTGAAAATAAATCTGTCCTTGAACTAAAACAAAAACAAAAAATTAAGCAACAGCACACATTACTTTCTACAGGAAAAAAGAGAACATCAGAATTATAACAAAAATGAGAATAACAAGAGAAATCATAAGATTGCAAAGCAAACAGATTGATGAATTAGTCGACAAGGAATCTAAAATATGCATTCCACATGCAGTTTCATCACGGTCAAAATTCGTAGTGAATTCAGTTTCTGGCACTCCAAACAGAGTAAAGAAATAAAACATAATGACGGTATTAGATTTATTTCGATACAGGGCAGCGGCAAGCCGCTTATTGCTTATACGTATTTCAGCCTCTACGTCTCATCAGAGCGGCATATACCGCTCTGATGAGATAAAATGAGAATCTTAAAGAAAAAAATTTAAAAGAGGTTAGAAAGGATGTGAGATGGTACAACACGATGAAAATATCTAGAGTAATAGAAAAAAGCGAAAGTTTGAAAGTACTCAGACACAAAATGTCCATTGGAAAAAATCATCCATAAAATAAGAAATCAACAGGGACAAATAATTGAACCTAAAAATGAAATTATGAACACGGTAAAGAGTTTATATGGACAGCTAAACAATTTAATAATATGGCTCTATAAGTTACATAAACAATAAACAGCTATATAACCAGAGTGGATCATTACCAAAGATAATTAACCAGGGATCTAAAATTTTACCAGATACAATACCAAATGAAGTTCAAAGGTTAGTGCAAGAAATGAAAAACAGTATGTCTCCCCTATAAAATATTGGCGAATGCCTTGACAGTGACTGGATAAATATTAAGAGTTTAGCGTGCCCTTACTAAACTATTAAATAGATGTCTACAGGAAGCAGTAACACTTACTCAGTAGCATATACCAAAAATTATTCTACTTCATCAAAAAGGCGATACTGCCGACCTCAGAAACTACAGGCCCAAGTCTACTTTCCCATTGTTATAAACTTTTTACAAAAATAATTATGAAACGATTAGAAAATAAATTGGAATTTTATCAGTTTGAAAAATGGGTTTTAGAAAAGACAATGGAATAAACGATCGTCAATTAGTATTACAAAATCTTATATAAAAGTGTACTGAATATAACAAATCATTAGTTTTAATATTTATGGTTTCAAGAAAAAACCTTCGACACCATAAAGTAACAAAAAATGTTAGAATGATACTTGACAGATATGTCTATTAACTATCGGTTTATAAAATATAATTAAACAAACATATGTCACATGTTAGTTTTTAGAGTGGGTGATCGCCTACTCAAACATTCACAATACAACGTGGAGTACGTCATGGGGACACTATATCACCGAAACTGTTCACGACACTTTTGGAATATATATGTAAAAGTGCAAATCTGACCGACAAAGGGATACATATAAACAAAGAAAAGCTTAGCTATCTAAGCTACCTGAGGTTTGCAAATCTTGTAGTCAGTGAAAATATATGCAAGAGAACAAGATCCATAGACCAGGTAGTGGCTTAGCAAATACCTAGGTAAGAGATTCGCATAGAAAAGATAAGTCAAACCGTTGATATTCTCCGTCGTATGACGAAGACTGAGTAACGTTATCCTAAGAACAGTACAAAAGATCAGTGTGGCTCAAAGAGCGATGGAGTGTGCCTTTGGGGGCTTTGGGAGTGTTACCATTGGTGTGGGATTGGGGGTTTCTCTATAAAAATAGCAATACTAAAATAGCACTGGGCAGGCACTTGGCTCAAATGATAGATATTTGGAATATAGACCAAAATATGATACTATTTCTACCGAAGTACAGGTCTTCCACTAATACGATGGACTGACAATGCCAGTAAACAAAACGAAACATATGGGAAATATATAAAAAGATCTATGTTCAGTAGTGTACAAGCGAAGATTGAATAATGATGATGATAATAATGAATATTTCGATGACAGAGCACCGTTTTTGAGTTTAGTATTTCTTAATTTTTATCTCTCACTTTTCTTATCTTTTAACTTTCTAGTCTCAAAAAAAACGATTTAAAAAAATAAATTTCTGTTTCGAATTGACTGTAAATACATATAAACTAGTAATATAGATGATTATGTACTTAGTTTTTTATTTAAATGTGCAAGACTTAAAAAAAATTTAAACTGAATATTTTTATCATAAATTATAAACCAAAATTTAAATTTTTCGTAATAGTACGATTCTACTCGAACTATTTAATTACAGCAGTATCAGAAGCACTTGTAAACAAATTAAATGATCACCTAAACCAAGACCTAACCAGTAAGTACTTATATTTCAAAATACAGCTTAAAGCAAATCCAATACCTGCGTTTAAATGAATCTACTCACCAAGATTTTCAATGGAATCGACACCACCGGCTATCTTAAGTTTTTCCAGCTCCTGCTCACATTCTAAAGATGTCATCGATATTGCTTGGTCGCCAATTAAGTATTGATTTATTGGACCCTTGGAAACAATTTCTGAATAATTCAGCGAAAACGGAATCTCTTGAGTTATCATGGTACTAGAAATAATAATAGCAAAGCATACAAAATTGGCGTAATAAGGTCACCAACGAAAAATGATTAAATAAAAACGCAATAAATGATCACCATGAGATTGATAATGAACTATAAAGTTAAAGACGAAACATTTAGATAAACGAAAAATTACATTTTTATGAAAAAAAAAAAATATATGCAATATAGGCCGACGTTATGCATCACTCGACCAAGCGCCAAAAATTGATTTTGAGATATCTTAAGTTTTCACTCTATTAAAAATTCACTATAGGTTACAATAGTCGTAATTTTTGTTTTCGAAGAGTGCGAAATAGTAACTTGCTAGTGTTGAAGAAAAACAAAAAAAAATAAAATAAATAAAGGCTTTTGGTCGATTTACGATTTTTGCCACATTGTGTAATTGTGTTATACACATAATTTTGTTATGAAAATAGTAAATAAACATTACTCATCTTGTATGCCAAAGTCTAAGTCTTCATCAAATCCGTCAATGTCATCTTTTACTGTATTGTTACTGAAAAGGGAGCGATACAGAGGTTATGCATCATTTGGTATTAGGTGCATTAAAGATCTAAGTCGTTAAGCTTAGGCACAGAAAGTGGCTTATCTGTGGGCCAAAGAGTAATAAAGTGGTTACTTAGGGATTGGGTTGCAACGGGCCGTCCTTTTTGAAGTTTTCTTGTGAAGATCTACTTCAACTTCACTAGTGTTAAAATCAATTTTCATAAAAATACTCAGTGGTTTATCCTTTCTTATTTCAATTTCTCTTGCTTTAGCCAGCTTACCTTACTGTTTTTTATGATCTGATTTACGGTTTGTAATCATAGTTTCCAACTTCTTTGTTCCAACGAATTCTTCTTTTTTATTCTGTGAACTACTAGTGGGTTCTTTTTACGGGATTTCTTCATCTGGTGTAGAATCATCAACGGTATATAAACGTTCATTATCTCCAAAATCACTATCATTGGGTAAAAAACTATGACAAGGAAAGATATAGCGTAATTTAATTTTTTCAATGGTAGGATGAGTTTCGAAAATCGTTTTCAGAATCAAAACTATTTTGATGTTGCGGTTTTGGCCGCCACAAGAGTCTGCCCACAAAATTACATGTTTTGCAGAAGTAATATTTTCTGTGTTTCTTAAGACAACTGCTTACTTCCTGGGCTGCCCGAGCAGCTTTACCTTTTATTCAAACATAGCCATGACCTTTGTTAACCTTGCCGCTATAGATACCAAGGTTGTAAATACATAATTGACGCTTATAATATACGATATTTGTTGGAATTCTCGGAAGGGGAAGAGTTTTTTCTAAATCAAAACAAAAGGTTTTCATATCTGGTTGATCGTTGCTCATCTTCATGCCTATCTTTATTCTAGATTGTGCATTTTCAGCTTCTTCCAAGTGCACATTTTTTTCTTCCTTTAACTTGTTTAATTTTTTCGTTATCTGCGCAATTTTTTATTTCTAATTCGAAATAACCACATCTACTAAAAGTAGGTATCTTTTTTCTTTGAAGATTAAATCGTGTTAAAAATATTTTTTTGTAAAACGAAAATTTAACAGGACCATTGTCTGCTTCTTCAATATAAAATTCATACATTTTACTTAATGTTGTGTCTTCTGTTAAGTATTGTCTTTTTGTGTTAGCTCTTCTATAATGTGACTTGTACTTAGGAAATTTTGTTATGTACTCAATTGCCGATTATCGTTAATTATATTATGACCTCTACTTTCACCACGACAATCTGGAACACCCATTGGACATTTTATAGCTTTCAAAGCTGCATTGACCTTGCAACTTGATATTCTCAAGGTGTGTAAATAGAAAGGTTTACACACTGTCATAGCGGATATTGTTTATATCCTTGTAGTATTTCTTTTGTTACTGGTTTTTGTTCTTTTACGCTTTATTGGGACTTCGGAAATATTTGAACAAATTACAGCTCAGTTGACTGTTTAATGCTATTTTCTCTTCTTTTTGTTCCTACTGACGAATAATGTTACTTCTTGTTGCTCCTTTAGAAGTTAAAGGCGTCTGCAGTGATTCTTCTTGTATATTCTTTTGTAGTAAAATTTAAGCAATAAATGCTTATTAACCTAAACGCCACAACGAGTTATTGTTAACAACGTTCATGTACGTAGATGTCAATAAATCGAAGTACATGGAAATCTCGAGCAAAAAGAAATAAACACCAGGGGATCCTTTAAATTGGAGGTGGAGAATGGATCAGTTGTAGAATTCGAGAAGGTGGATGAATATATTTACTTAGGTACTCTTATTGATCAGACATGTAAGGAAGAAACTGAAATCAACCTGAGACTGACCAAGAACAACAGGTGTGCTGGAGCCATGAGAAAAATATTTAAGGCCAAAGATATATCTCGTAATACAAAAATAAGAGTATAGAAAACTATAATTAGACCCACAATGCTATACGCTGCCGAGACATGGACTATGAACAAAACCATACAGAATACATTGGAAGCACGGGAAAGAAAAATACTTCACAGAATATTTGGTGGAAAATTTGTAGAGGGAGAATGGAGGACGAACTAATGCAGAAGTGTACCATTTGTATGCTAACCCTACAATAACAAGAGTGGTGAAAAAACGTAGACTGGAATGGCTTGGTCATCTAGAAAGAATACAAGGTGATAGACTAGTCAAACATATGATTGGAGAGTACCTGAGGGAAAAAAAGGAAGAGCATGAAAGAAATGGAGAGATGTAGTGATGGAAGATGTCAGAGAGATGGGAATCAGAGATTGGAAGCTGTTAGCTAAGAATATAAAACGATGGAAATTATCCATCCAGCAATGGGTCTAAAATGCCTGTTAACGGTGTACGTACATACGTACATGTACGTATGTTGCCAAATATTCGATTTACAATCATTAAAACGCTCGCAAGAGGCACTTGGTCTGCTGATGCAAAACTATTACACAATTACACAAAATTAGTCGTTTGGTCTAGTGATACAAAATTCAAAATCCAGAATAAAAAGTAAGGCACTTGATCTTTTTAAATATATCGGGTTAACCGTTACTAACAGATTAATAGGCTTTATTATGTATATTCTTCTTCTTAGCCTTCTGTCGTCCATGTTTGGGAATATGCCTCTCCCAACTCCTTCCATCGGTCTCTATCCTGAGCAACATATTTCCAATTTGTTCCGGCTATTCTTCTAATGTCATCAACCCATCTCATCTGTGGTCTTCCTCTTGGTCGTTTACTTTCGTAAGGTCTCCAATGTTGTATTGTAGTATTCCAACGTTGGTCTTTCTGTCTAGCAGTGTGGCCCGCGAAGCTCCATTTAAGTTTTGCCATTTTTATTGTTATGTCCTCGACTTTTGTTTTGGATCTTACCCAGTCGTCCCTTTTTTATATGACAGTCGTATACCTAAAATTGCTCTTTCCATTGTTCTTTCTGTTGTGGCTAGTTTATTCATGTTTGCCTTGGTTAGGGTCCAGGTTTGACATCCATATGTCATGATAGGAAGGATGCATTGGTTGAACACTTTGCTCCTCAAGTATTGGGGTATTTTGCGGTTCTTAAGTATCCAACTAAGTTTTCCAAATCCTGCCCATGCTAGTCTTGCTCTTCTAGTAATTTCCGCACTTGGTTCTCTTTGTCAAGTCTCAGGATTTGGCCTAGGTAGATATATTCCTGGATTTGTTCTATCTCACTGCCGTTTATAGTTATATGTCTGGGGTCTTCTGTGCTTGTCATTATTTTTGTTTTTTTCATATTCATTTTTAGGCCGACGTATTGGGAGCTGGCTGCTAGTTCCATTATGTATATAGTTTATGCTATTTTTCACCAGAAAACGTCATAATACACAATTTGAGAAAATGGCGCTTGGTCTAATGATGCATAACGTCGTCCACATATTGTATCCTTTGTAGAAGGGTTTAATAAAGTTTATGATTTTCAGTGGTATCCCATATAATCTTAGGATTTTCTACATCTGTACCCTATTTTAAAGGTCAAAGGCCTATTCAAAGTCGATAAAACTCAGTTAATCAATATTTTTATTTCAGTTATTTGTTTGTTTCAAGATAATTTTAAGGGCGCAACTGTGATCAATGGTAAAGTTTTTTTATCTAGTTTCGGCCTCAATCTTTCCAATAAATTGTTGGTCAACACTTTAGATGTGACGCTTAGAATTATTATTGCACGCCAATTAATGCATCGAATTAGGTCTCCTTTTTTTTTAAATATTTTATTAGTATCAATCCCTCATTCCACTCCTTTGATATTTCTTCGTTAATATATTACTTGTTCAAAACTGTTTGTAACATTTCTACTGATTGTTCAGTATATGATTTTATTAGGTCTATGGGTATATTGTCGATTCATGCGGCTTTTTCATTCTTTAAAAGTTTAATTATATTTCTAATTTCTTCCCTTGTAATTTCTTCAATATTTATTTCTAGCTCTGGTGATTCCTCTTCATCTTCTATTATTTGTGTTTCCGTGTTTATCCTTAGCCTCTCGTATATTCCTAACCACCTGTTAGGTTTCGTATGCTTGTATATTGTGCTCGTAGGTCGTTTTCTTACGCTGCTTTCTCTGATGCATATGGTATGTCCCTACCTCATCACCTCTTAAGTTTCTGACATCTTGCAACTAGCTTTTCCACTTAGATTCAATTGTTATGTGATCTATTTGATGCTTGTACCTCCTACCTGCTAATTGCCAAAATTTAGATAGTAGATTTCTATTGCCGTTCCTCTCCATCATTTCCCATTGTGTTCTCATCTTGTTGATGTCCCTGTATTATCATTGCCTATTTTTGCATTAAAGTCTCCGATTATTATTATCATATCTCTTCTATATTGATTGTTAATTTTATTATACGTTGTTTGTAATTGTTCATACAATTCTTCCTTCTGATCTTCGTCGTTTTTATTGATACGAGCATGCTCATACCAGTACAAATTTAGGGTGTGCTAAAAAATATCTACTCCTTGCAACTTGATCATTGGTCATCCTCTGAATGTGGTTCTTGCTAGAGATCAAAGTTTAAAATTTTTGAAAAAACTTTAAATAATTACCTGGAACCCAAAGCACCACCGCCATACCGAACTGTTTCATCTAACCTACTGGCTGGGCCTATATCATTGTTTAAATCGGCATAATTATTTATTAGAATGTTTTCAATTGCTTCGATGCAAAGTGCTATATCTTGAGTGTAATCACCAGTTCCTGTTTGTACCGTTTTAAGAAATGCCAAAGCCCATTGTAATTGGCCTATACCTGAAATATAATATTCCAAATAAGTCAAAATATGAACGAATAGCAAATAACAAAATAATAAAAATCATTTATTAATGTCATATTTGGTTTAAGCGCCGCTACAATTACCCAACAGTAGACTTGGATTTTGACAATGAGTCACCCCCTTCAATTAATTGTTTGACTTACAGTGAAATCGTTTTAGAATAGATATTTTAAGACGCTTTGTTTGAATAACTAAGAGGGTCTTCCTACCGAGTCCTTATAATAATAGTTTTTTTAAAAATGTGTATATTATGTATATTATATATATATATATATATATATATATATATATATATATATATATATATATCGGAAAAAGGAGTACGACCGTCAAATTCCAATATATAAAAGGATCACTCAACAGAGTGGTGGGCTCTTATATCGGTCAATTTGTAGGTGGAGAAATGAAAGACAAAGTTGATGTGCCACTCTATCTATTTTGAAAACGTTTCGCTTTCGTATTCTGAAAGCATCATCAGTTCATTCTAAAAAGTATAATATAAGAACCACACAATCATGGAAAAGATGTTACAGGTGTTACCTTAAAAAGACATGTAGCAGTCAAAGATGTTAACAAGCTTATGAATTAAACTTGAATAAATGGACAATATAAAGTAGAAATGTATAAACATTTAATTTACTAACAACATTTAGTGACTTATTAAAAAATTAGCACAGTGAGTGACCATGTGGTCAGAAGTATAAAAAATATATATTAAATTATAACGTAATTGATGCAAAGAACTAAGAAAATCAACGATTAACTTCCAACAATAGATAATTATTAAGCTTTAATTTTAACTTTTGGTAGCATTATTAAAAGATGTTAATATAATTAAAAAAAAAATAAGTGTAAAAGAATGAAGTTACCGGTCTAAGCCTTACACCTGCTACCAGGAAAATGGCGTTAGATTGAACAGACTGACACAGAACCACGAAAAGACAGCCAACCTTGAGGTTGAAATTATTTCAACAGAACAGCAAGGTCAGAGGTACCACCTCAAATAATTGAGCGGTTTATTTAAAAGTTAATGAGCTTTGGATGACAGCCCGCTTGTAAGAGACAATCCAATGAAAGAAACTGATATAGCAATAACAATTACTCGCATTAGCCCGTCTAAAAACAAACAAACAGGAGAATTTCATTCAAACTCTTATATTTAAATTTATGTTAAACATTGTGGCTGAAAAAATTTTGCCAACAGGTGAATAACAATTAGATAATTTCCAACAGTCTAAGCTTCAGACACTTAGATCTGTAATTTGTAAAGGATTCTATGAATCAATTACAATGTTAATATTATTACTATACTATTAAATAGTGACTGGTTCACACTCATATGGACAAATTATAGTGTAGAGGTAACCTTGTAATGAAAGTTGCCTATATTTAAGTAATTGGTATAAAGAATTGAGTGTTACAGTTTATTTTATATTAGTTATTTATTTACTATGTTATATTATTAATTAAAAAATTGTGTTCAAATATGTATATTACATGATAATTATATTGAAAATGAAAGTAAAGCCTAGTTCTGCAATATTAGAGCATGATAAATTTGGCTCAAGTTACTTATGTCAGTTCTCTTATTTAGAGAATTAGGATGTTTAAGAATTGAACACATTTCTAAAAACTGTCTTTTAAATAGATTACGTTCAGTGCCAAGAATCTTAACTTCATTAAAATCCACTTTATGTTTGGTGCTAATAGCATGTTGTGCGAGAGCACACGTATTTTTTGATAAATTAATATCACTACGATGGGAAGTAAGACGACCTTTTAATGATCTACCGGTCTGGCCAATGTAGCACAATTCACAATCAGAGCATGGAAGGTGGTAAATTGTATTGACTTGTTCTAAAGTGGACAATGGTGTTTTAGTTTTTGAAAAAAGATTTCTAACAGTTTTTGCGTTCTTGACAGCAATTTTAACAGGAATGTTATTTTGTTTATACAGTTTAATAAGTTTCTCAGTAACTTGAGGAAAATAAGGTAGAGAAGAATAATGGATAATAGGATTCTCAGACTCAGTATCTGGCAGAACAATGCTATTAATTGAGTTATTGGAAATAGTTCTGAGTTGGTCACCATTGGGTATGTCATCAAACGAGGAACCATAGCTTTGTGTGTAAAGGTATTTGTTTATGATAGATGATGGATATGAGTTCTGTATTAGAATATTTCTTAATAACTTAAGGGATTCCCTTCGATTAATTGGATGTGTCAATTTATGTAATCTGCAGCTTAAAGCTTTTATAAGGTTTAGTTTATACTTCATAGGGTGACAGGAGTGGTAATTAAGGAACCTATTGGAGGCCATGGGTTTTCTATACCAACTTGTGGTTAGGGTGTTATCTCCCATTCTAATGACACGCATGTCTAAAAAGGGAATGCTATTGGTGATGCTGTCCTCAAGTTCAACAGTGAACTGTAAATGAGGATCAAACTCATTAAAGAAGGATAAGGTACCCTGAACCTTGTCAGGTGGTAGGGCTAATAATAAATCATCCACATACCTCTTAATAAAAGGGATTTGAACATCCAAACGACCCAAGCGGTCAGAAACTAAATCATCCAATACATAGTTGACTAGGATAGGAGAGATTGAGGAACCCATAGGTGTGCCAAAAATTTGAAGGTAATATTTGTCGTCAAAGACCAAGAAATTAGTATCAAAAACTAGTTGCAAGAGTTCTGCAAATACATCCCAGGAAACAGGACAGTTAGGTTTAATTGAATTCCAGTGATTTTTTAAGGAAGTGATAACACTGGACAAAGGTAAATTGGTGAAGAGAGAAACCACATCAAAACTTACTAAAATGTAACCTGGTGGTAATTTGAAATTGTTAATAAATTCACTAAAGTTAAACGAATCAACAATATTAAAGTCATTATTGTAATTATATGACTTTGAAAGGATGTCAGTTAGAAATTTAGCAATATTGATATTAGGTGAATTAATAGAGGACACAATAGGTCTCATGCTTAGTGTAGGTTTATGTATCTTTGGCAGACAATAAAATCTAGGAGCATATCCATCATAATTATGTAAAGTTTTAGCTAAAGGTTGATCTATGATCTTAATATTTTTCAAATGTGTTATAAATTTATTTATTTTATTTGTGAATTTAGAGCAAGGGTTAGTTGAAAGTGGTTGATAATATCTATCATCATCTAACAGTGATTTACTCAAACTGAAACTACTGTCCTTATGGATAGAGATCAATATTTCACAATAGTTGTTGTACATAATATGTTTAAAACAGTACTGACAGTATTAGTTAAAAGCGCCTAGGTCACTAGTAATTAAATATAAAAACAGAGCAAACCAAAACAACCAAGAAACAATTAAAACACAATAAAATTACACATTAAAAATGTACAGGGTGATTTAAAATATAATTATAGACAGAAAAATTATTAGAACATACTAAGAATATTACAGTAGATATTACTCAACTGTTCTGTGTCTGCCTTGTAATTTAACTGCATAGTTTTCTATATTTATATGGCACATTTCCAAAAAACAATCTTTTTTTGTAATTATTTTCTTGCTGTAGAACCCTGACATTTGAATAGTCAATTGATGGCCAGTTTTTAAGTGATGGTCAACTGCCACAAAATGTATTCTTTTGTTTTGTGCAGTCACTTTTGTGTTGTGTGACCCTTTGTTTTAGCCATTGAGAAGTTTGGCCAACATAACAGCTCTGGCAATCCAAATAAGGCAGTTTGTAGATAACATTAGTTTTATTTACAGTTGGTGTCTTGTCTTTTACTTTAGAAAACAGTTGTCGGTTTTCTAATAAATTATATTGAATAATTTTAATGTTAGTAAATTGTTTAAATAAACGAGTCACAGAAGGTGTTAACTGTTTTATTAATGGTAGTTTCTTATATTGTATTGCTTGTACTGCTCCGATATCAGTGGGACCGTCAAAAAGGTCTGAGTTAAATATCAATTTTTTAAGGATATGTTTTGGGTATCCATTATTTTGAAAGATG